AATTAAGTAAATCGATGGTGGATGGTAGAAGCAGGTTTTCCACTGTTGGAGGGGGAAGAGGCTACAATGATCCATTTGCTAATGATTAGAGTTGAAAACATCAATGAGAACTCATATTTAGTTTAGTAGAGTTACATATGATTGCACACAGAAATGTTCATATATGTGTATGTGTGTTTATGCATGGGTTAATTTACACACATACATTTCCCTGCTTTGTCAGCTAAAAGAGCCTTAAAGAAACGAAGCTGGTGCAGTGCCTCATGCCTATAATCCCGGCACTTTGGGAGGCTGTGGCAGGGGCACCACTTGAGTTCAGGAGTTTGAGACCAGCCTGAACAACACAAGGTAACCCCGTCTCTACCAAGAAGAAAAGAAATGAAAAGAAAAAAGATAAGAGGGGAGGGGAGGACAGGGGAGAGGAAGGCAGGGGAGGAAGACTTCAGTAGCAATGAGCAAACCTACTGCCCAGATCTTGATTTCTAAGCCCATTCTCCAATGAAAGAAATTAGAGCCCCTTAGAGAAATGTCTATTTCTAGGTCTGGGGCAGGAAGTGTACAAGATGAGCCAAGAATATATGTAGTACCAAAAGTAACCAAGTGCTAAAAACAAATGAGCCCACGTTGATGGGGTTATCAAAGAAGCCAACTCAAAGAGCTCCCAAGGGCCAAAGCCGGAACAATTTGAGCAACAAAATTAAGTAGTCATGGCTTATAACCCAAAATACAAAATAAGTATCTATGACTCCATACTGATATGAATGATTGAATAAATAAATGGAAGAGAAAAGACAAAGAATTCCAAATAATTTAGATAGCTCCTTTACCCTAAGGGAGGAGAAACGAAACATGTCACTCTAAGTGTGGACTGCACAAAGAGACTTTTTTCCGAAGATTAACAGTATGGAAAGGACAAAAAAAGGAGTAATCTTACAGTGGAAAAACCTGAAAAACAGTATGTTAGGCAGATCACCAACATTAATGCCAGCAGCTATAAATTGAGTTGATAGAATGTACCCTCACTATAATATGGCAACAATGGCCCTTCACTGCTGTGATCTTACCCCCACAAACACATAACCCCAATCTCTTCATAAGAAAAACATCAGACAAATTCTAGGAGAGGGGAATCCTTGCAATATACCTGACGATAACTCATCAAAACTCTTAAGGTTGCCAAAAATCAAGGAAAGTCTTTTGGGTTTTGTTGTTTTTTGTTTTGTTTTATTGTTTTGTTTTTTTGAGACAGGGTCTCACTCCATCGCCCAGGATGAAGTGCAGTGGTGCGATCACTGCTCACTGTAGCCTGGACCTCCCAGGTTCAGGTGATCCTCCCACCTTAGCCTACCAAGTAGCTGGGACTACAGGCACATGCCACCATGGCACAGCTAGTGTTCTATATTTTTAGTAAAGATGCAGGTTGCCCAAACTGGTATCAAACTTCTGGGCTCAAGAGATCCACCCACCTCAGCCTCCCAAAGTACTGGGATTGAGGTGTGAGCCACTATGCCTGATTTCCAAAGTCTTAGAAACAATTACAGCCAAGAGAATGAGAGATGACAACTAAATGTAATATGGTATTATGAATGAGATCCTGGAACAACAACAACAAAAAAGACATTAATGGAAAAATTAAGGAAATCTTAATAAAGTATAGATTTTAGTTAATCATAATCATGTATCAATGTCATTTCACCAATTGAAATGAATTTATCATACTAATGTAAGGTGTTAATAACAGGGGAAACTAAATGCGAGGCATATTGAAACTCTCTGTACTGTCTTCATAATTTTTCTGTAATTCTAAAATTGCTCTAAAAAATAGTCTATTAAAAACTTTTTAAATATAATCAACAGATCATTATAGCCAAGAAAGAGAACTCATAACATATATATAATGCTGGATTATGATAAAGGAGATATTAAAAATATGCATGAAAAGAACAGACTCTTATTGAATAAACGATCCAGGGACCACATGAAAAAATAAAATCAGGTGAGATTAGACTACTGCCACACTCCGCAGACAGACTGCAGTTGGATTACAATTTCAAATGTGTAAAAGCAAATCTTTAAAGTAATTATAAAAAATCTTAGAAAATATCTTCATAATCTTGGGATAGGAAAGGCCTTCTTAAGCAGAAGAAAAGCAACATGAACCATATAGAAAATATTGATTTTACTACAAAAAAGTTTTCAACTACTATAGAAAAAATGTTACTACTTAAGGAATAAAAAAGGACAAGTGACTGACCAGAAGAAATGGCGCTCAACCTATAACGGCTCAAAGGATTACTATGGAAAATATATATAAAGAAATTCTGTAAGTAAATTTGAAAATGATAAACCAACACAAAAATGGAGAAAAGATATGAGTAGATGAATCACAGAGGAATGACCATTAAACAAATTACAATATGCTAGTTATCACTAGCAATGCACATTTCACACTTAAGATTTTATATTTTTCCCAAAAGATTGGTTAAAAATTATAAAGATTGACAATATTGAATATTGCCAAGAATGGAAAAGAAAGGAGCTTTAACGCGCTAAGTGTAGATCATTCGGTGCTCTACCCACTCTAAAGGACAACTTGACATCATTAAATGTGCACATCTTCCCTTCCAAAATATTTACAAAAGGAGCAAAGCCAGGCTTTCGTTAACAGCAATATGGTTCACCGAATAGCGATATAACAGAAAAGTAGGCATCAGTTTAAAAGAATAAGAGGACTACATAAAGGTATAGAGAGACAGATTACAGATAAACATGTGTAAACACACACACATTTTTCTATATAAAACATGGAAATAGATCTCCAAGAATATAGCTTGGTGTAGAAAAAAAGTTGACAAATAATAATTAGGGCATAACAAAATCTGTGATTAAAAAGAAAAGGAAAAGAGACTCGAAAACAACATATTTATGACATATACTTGCAAGTATCGAATACACAGGAAACTCTTATGGGCTACTTATCAAACTGAGAAAAAAACGAGACTGAGGGAAAGCGGTATGATTTTATGCACTACTTGTATAATTAGATTTTTTTTTCTTAGTGAAATAAGCAAGACAGGAAAGAAGAAGCAGTAAAAGTTTTACACAGAATGTATTTTCCCAAATGAGCAATCCATATGCATCTAGGCTGCTATAAGTCGGGTGCCTGCTCCTGTGGCATGAGGGTCTCACCTTCACTTATACTCTAACTCTGTTCCCCTGGAAACCTGATAATGGGATGACATCAGCGACACTGCTAAGCAACTGCTGCTTACAAGAAAAATGACCCAACTGGCCAGTTGCATCTGGACTGGGAGGAACTACGAGAGGGCAACAAACATCAGATGCATACGCTGTATTTTGTGGCTTCTGTAAATGCAGAGACGCTTGTCTTCTGTGCTTGGCTCAAACCTTGTGGGGACATAAGGTCAAAAAACACCATAAAGCAAGGTGTCATTCAGATAGGCACTTCAGATTTGCACTAAGCGAGCTGGCTACGTGTGGAAAAGCCCTTTTTAAATTCTTAATAGCCTACGCTATTTTTCATGACTGACACCTAACTGCCTTATAAACTATAAATACTCCATTTTAATCCTCCTTCAAGTTATATGTAAGCAACAATATTTTGCATTCAATTAAACTAAGGCATTTTGGGTGAACAGCAAGGTTTAAAACGTATTCATTACACAACTGTAGTAAATTTATGGTTCACATAAATTTTATCCATAATTTCCCAAAGCACTATGGAAAGTTAAATCATTCATTTTTATAAAGTAGAACACAACGTGGGACTACATAAAACCTAAAAAGAAGAAAAAAAATTCCAAAGGGGCTGGCTTCCAAGTTAAGCGCTTGAGAAAGAAAAGTTTTATGTAATTTAACAATCAAAACTTCTTCCTGACAAAAACGAATCCTCAGTGTAAATCACGGTGGAAAAAAAATCATTCTTGATTGATAGAGATGAGACAAAATTTGCCAAAATATAACTATAGACATGCTTGAAATAGTGAAGAATTATATTTGCAAATAGTGCAAATGGAAATGCCAGTGTAAAGTGATATGAGATAAAATTGACTTTCTGTTTCAGCATTTTTGAAATTACAGCACCAGTCATTGCAATTGTCCAGTCTGAGATAGCCATTTCAGATGGTTAGAGAGCTGTAACAACCAAATTCAGGATGCCCATATAAAATAGAAAACATTCCTTTTCATCACACTGTGTTACCACTTCTTTCAAGGGGCTTTAAAAATGACATAGACCCCCAACCCCATTTGCATTTTTTTTTAGTTCTTAGAGGCATCCAGGATTCAACACTTTGAAAAGTGCTGATTGAGGACTCTACCACCATACCCCTACTTCCTGGATCAGATCAGAAGAGGAGAATTTCATGTACACATGTGTGCATGTGAGTTTTTTTTTTTCTTTCTTAGAAGTATCTGTTCTAGGTATCTCAAAGTCTTATAACTGATAATCATGAAATATGTTTATTTGTTAGTTTTAATTGAATCACTTAAAGTCATATATCAACTTCAGGACACATTTTACCTCTGACAGAGAGAAAACAGAATTGGGGTAAGGATAATGTTTTACTTCTTAAAGAAAAAAAAAAAAAAGAGAAAGATCTGATTCAACTGTGGCAAACAGTTCCTGTTTTTACATCTGAGTGAAGGGTAATATGGGTATTACAGTATTTGCCATACTTTTCTGTATATTTCAAATACTTAATTTTTTAAATTAAATACAAAGAATTATTCTAAAAGCAAGACAGTATGAGAGCATCAGTACACGTCATCACTACCTGGAGAAAGAGGCAGTCAGCCCATATCCTCCAGTGACTTTTACGTAGCAAGGCATCCCTGAGTCCATCTCATGCCCCTAGTGTTGGTAACAGAAAAACAAGCATGATCTGCCTGCATTTGCTTAAAGCAATGCTGTATTTCACTGTGAACAAGAAGATTTAAGCAAAGTTGGAATGAAAAATGTCCCTCTTGGGTTCACATACCTGTGTCACCCCCGGATCCCGTTGACAAAGCTGGCATGATGCAAGGTGCAGGAACAGGGCCCACTGCTCTGCAGACACCCTGCCCTCAGAGAGCCGCAGGGAATTCCAGTTCAACTGTCTGCAGCCACAGTGTCTACCAAGATCTGTGTATCTTGTAAGCTGTTTCTAGAAAGGAAAGAAACATTCTTATTTTTTAAAAAGGGACCATCATCAAATCACAACATTCTGTAACTAATTCAAAACTCTCATCCCAATCACTACCCGAGAGATCACACCTCTTCAGAATTTTTTCTACAGACCACATGCAAATATGAACTGTAAGAGTTTCTGATCTTGATGAGCGACTTCTAATTGAAAACATGAATGTTCTGCACGCATGTGTCAAGGCTTCCTTAAAGATTTTTACATTTGGGTTGGGGAACGCTGACTGGATATGTGGATAATTTTAAAAAGCTTCTGTACGTCAATGCCATTCTCAACTTCCTTCTCTGTGTTACTATAATTCTCCGCTATATTTCTAACTGTAGAACAGGGATTATATAAATTGTCAGCGACTTACAACTAATTGTATTTTTTTTATATGGAGTCTCACTCTGTCACCCAGGCTGGAGCACAGTGGTGCGATCTCGACTCACTGCAACCTCCGTCTCCCAGATTCAATCAATTCTCCCTGTCCCAGCCTCCTGAGTAGCTGGGATTACAGACACCCACCACCAACCCTGGCTAATTTTCCTTTTTCTTTTTTTAATAGAGACAGGGTTTCACTGTATTGGCCAGGCAGGTCTCACACTCCTGACCTCAGGTGATCTGCCTGCCTTGGCCTCTCAAACTGCTGCGATTACAGGTGTAAGCCACCACACCCGGCCTGATTGTATGTTTTTAAATACCTCATCCTAATATGACAAACGCATGGTTCTCTAACTGAATACTGCAACTAATCTTGAAGGAATATTTACTAGAATGAAAATAAGATGTTATTAGATTTATAGAAGTTTTAGTAATCCAAAGTAAATCTAACAATTCAAGCCAGCATACATAAGTAAATTCTTTTAGTAAAAACTAACTTTTGTTGTATCTGGAAAAATATTAACTTCTTTTTAAATAGCTATCTTAACTAATGTTTATCCTGAAATAAGCAGTAAAGGCAGTACGGCATAGTAGTTAAGAACAAGGAATCTAGAGTTTGACGTAATCTCTAAAGCTGCTGGTTCTGTGATCTTCAACAAGGGATTTCATCTTCTTAAGCCTTAACTTCCTTACATGCAAATAAAGACAACAGTCAATTAGAACTATTTGGTAATTAAATATACTCAGACATATAATGCAGTGTCTGACACATAAGTAAACAAGAAACGCTGGCTGTTATGACAGGGCTTTTTTAAATTCAGGTAATGAGATTATAAAATGAAAACATAAAAGAAAGTAGCGAGATTAAAATTTACATTGGCCTAACACCTAGAGGGAGGCCATCTGGTTTAAATTTGGATCACCCCTGGCTAATAATGGAAAAAGTACTCCATTTACATTTTTGTAGAAATCAGAAGAACCACACAATGTGTTTTAAGTTCATTTTTAATGTACTTTCCTCAATTCTCTATAAAGCAAATTCAGTAATTTAGAAGCATATTTTAACATGTATTAACAACAACAAGAAAACACTGGAAACCTTGGAAAAACTGGCTCACATCAATTTTTAAAGCCTTTACGTTGCTGAATCAAATTACAGAAAAAGAAATGAACTTGCCAAATTTTACTTTAAAAAATCCATACTGTAAGAGTCTATTAAAGCCTTCTAAATAAGCTTTTTAATTGTTACAGTGAAAATTAGTATTAAAAACACCATCATCAAACGAATTATTTTAGATCAGACTATCTGCTGCAATCGCTTGAATTTTGCTTTATGTTACTGCAAAGGCTGACATAGTTAAAACATGCATACAAATCCATACAGAAAGGAGTGGTCATTTAAAATATGAGGACTATTTTAAGTACCAAATGAAAATACAGCTCACTAAGTTAAAAATTAAAAATGTGAGGCAAGATTTCACTAATGCACGTCTGAATTTTTCTAATAACTTTGAAAGAAATTTTGCTTTGCCTTCATAAATTATTATAAAAATCAGGATGAAGATTCAACTACAGGAAAATGTTCCTTATATAAAGCAAGGTTAGAAACAACGTCATTCAAAGTCAAAAACGGACTGTATAATTTCAAGAACACAGTAAATTAGTAGACTTTTGTTTTGCTAATAGAAAAAAAGGAAAACAAATTAAAATTTTTTAAATGTCTACAGACACATTTGTACCATTAGGGCAATATATATGTATGTATGTTTGTGAGTAGGTATTATATGTGTGTGTGTGTGTGTGTATGTAATTTAAGTTATTTATGTCACAAGAAAAGCCATTAATTATATGATATAGACTGTACATGTGCTATACAATCTATACCATGCAACCTATCACTTTCTTCACAGCTTAAAGAACTTACAATGTTTCACATTTATAAACCATACACACCATATAATAAGACAACATATGCTTATAGCAAACAATTAGAATTTTATATAGTTTGAAACATTCACATTCCATTCATACTAAAAGCCTTACATTCCACATCAAAACACCCTTTTGAGCTGATACTGCAGCTGTTCATCTATGCCATATAAGAAAAGCCCTAGCACTTCTTGTTCTTTATTTCATAATGAACACTCAAGATTAACTTTTTCCAAAGCTGTATTACTACAAAACAATTCTCTCTTAAGTACATATACTACAAAGTAATCACCTTCTCAGAACATATGCAAGAATATGAATTTTTTCAATGGTTTGACAGAATCCTAACCGGTAATATTTTGTATTTTGTGGAATAAAGCACTAGGTTTAACTTTCGGACTGAGTTAAACTTTTGTAGTAATGATGTTATTTTCTTTGGCTAAATTCATTGAAAATGCTTTGGAATTTGTCGGAAGGCAGCCATAATTATTACTGACTGTTGTATGGAATCAATTTACTACAACACAAAAATACCAGCTGTTACAGTATGTCCTGAGAGGGATTACCGAATATTCTTAAATTGAAGTTCAATCCATCTTTCCATAAAAAAGAGAAAGATCCAAAATCCAGGAACATAACAGCAGTATCAAGTGCACCTGAAGCATTTACAATACCCAATAGAATGATTACAACCCTCCTTTAAAGGGCTTATTTTTGAAATTTCATTATTCCAGTCGTACCTTGCTTCTATATATCACACTGTATCAGGTTCCTCTGGCATTGATCATGTGGAAACAGTGAAGTATGTGAAGGTCTATGAGTTTACAATGTTCAATTTCTACCCGCCCTGGGTAACCCTTAATGCTCCCGTGGCACTCATGACATCTAGTGGTCAATCACAAAAGTGCAAGTGTTTACAACTTGTTTTCAGTAGAGTTAACTTAATTCCATCGTCTGCAACATTTTTTATTAATGTAAACATATATATACACATACACACAGTTAATATACATGAATAAGAAATCAAGTAATTTTCAAATACATCTCCTCTCTATTTGTAAGTGTTCAAAAATATAAAAATTTGTAATTCACTGTCATCATAAACTATTTTAATAAATGTTAGCAATCTATCATTTCAGAATAAGTGTACTCAGACATCAAACTGTAGATTATTTCACCAGATACACTCACTCAATAGTTACATTTTCAAAACCTAACAGAGCAATAAAACAACACACATAGAGTAAACTTTTTAAAATAAATCTAATTATCACAGATATTTTAAAAGTTCAATCTGAAAGATTCATTAATTATATTAGCCAGTGCAAGAAGCAGACTTATTTCTGTTAACATTATTTGAACCCTCATAAATTATAATTGTAAGAATAAAAAGAGGCAACATATACTAAGCAGCAGACATCTGCTTACACAAAATGGTACTTGTATCTTTTATACCAGCTATTCTCAAAGTGTGGTCCAGAGAACCCTAGAGGTCTCCAGGACCCTTTCAGAGGGGTTCACGAGGTCAAACTATTTTCATAAAAATACTGAAGAAAGTACTGAGATGTTATTTGTCTTTTTCACTGTACCAGCATTTGCACCAATGGTGAAAAGAAATAAAGCAATGGTCACTGTTGGTGAAACCACTGCCATCTGAGCATGAGTCAAGATAATGGCACCAAATTGAAACTATTCAACATTGTCTTCTTCACTGCCAAGGATGCTCATTCAAAGGAAGAGGAGGAAGAAGAAGAAAAGCAGGAAGACGAGGAGGGAAGAGAAAAGGTTCACTATAGAATATCCTTAATGAAGCATTAAAAATTAATATTCATTGACTCTTAAGTACTCTTCTTTTTAACATCCTGTGTGAATAACGGGAAGGACACATAAAGTACTGCTGCTATAAACAAAGGAAACACTGTCTCAAAAAAAAAAAACAGTTGTGCAGTGATTTGAGTTGTGAACTGTACTGGCTGCTTCGATTATGGAACATCTTTTTTTTTTTTTAACTTAAAAGAACAGAAGACAAACTATGGTCATTCAAGCTTCTCAGTATTTGGCAAATGTTTTCTTGAAAATAGAGTCCACGTTTTCAAGGGAAACCAAAAAGAGTATGTGTTGCTAACGATAAAAATGAGCTTCCAAGCAAAAATTAGAATTTTGTAAAACTTGCACCCACTAGAGGCTCATTTTGCATGGTGCTCTGTTAACGAAACACACACATGGTGGAACCAAGTCCACACTTTGTACTGGTTCTATCAGCTTCCCAATGCCTAAAGGCTTTGCTGGGAAGATCCATGGTGATGTTAACAAATGTGATTATTCTGGCATTCTGTATCAACGTTGGGAAGATCTGCACGATTCGGTGAACAAATATTTTCCCATTTTCTACTAACGCATTAGAAAATCATGCATGAATAACATCCATTCAAAGCTCAAGATAGATCAATTTAAAGTTTGAATACAATAACTTTATTTCTATATTTTCAGATTTTACACTGAAACTTATCTTTAAGAAATTGCCATATATCTTTGGTGAAACAGCAAAGAATATCCACACTTAACTGAATAGGCAATTAAAATATTCCTCCCTCTTCCAACTACAGATCTGTGTAAGGTCAGTTTTTCTCCATATTCTTCAAGCAAAACATACAGCAACAAAATGAA